GACCTATTCTCTGTGAAGGGACGCCTCCTTCGAGCCGATATTATCAAATGCTGGAAGATTTTTCACGGCCACAGTCAGATATCCCCGGAGATCCTCTGGGATCTGGAGGCCGACAACAGAACGCGCGGGCATAGTAGAAAGATAAAAACGTGTCGTAGTCTTATAGATGCAAGGTCAAGGTTTTTCACCCACAGAGTCGTGCGCGATTGGAATGCCCTCCCAGATTGGCTGGTGAACGAGGAGTCCCTGGTGCAGTTTAAAAAGGGACTGAAAGCCGCACTGGGAAGCAGATTGTACGAACACACAGGATAAGAGAAGGCAAACGATTCACATCTCATCCTTCATCCCCCCCCCAGGTAAGCGCCCCACCCTTCCCAAGTTGGGGCGGGGTTATACGCGCCTGGGCTACCTATCATATTCCGCCCTTACCCCCTAGGTAGCTGCTGCCCGCCCTTCTCGAGCTGGACCGGGTGGACTAACCTAGGCTACCTATCCTGACCTTTCCTTCCGAGAACGTATCACATTTCGGTACCCTCTTCTCTCATTTACATAATTGATCATCTTGTCTAGGATTCTGGCACTTAAAACACGCACAAGTTTTCTTTTTTCAGTGTTTTACCAAATGCAGACGCACCATTCCAATTCCTTGCCTGAGGTCCAGCCATCTGCCCACCCAAGGAATTGGCGCGTCTCTGCACGCAATAGGTTTCCACTCCTTCCTTTACGAGCCAAGGTTGTGGAAACCTAACAGGTGAGAACAGGTGAGTTTCCAGTCTGGCATGGGGTTAGGTAAGGTTTGATTTTTGTTTTGTATTTGTATCACATGTAAATATCATATCTGGATTCAGGATGTCAAATAGTGCAAGAATGTACAAAATGTATGCCTGAAAAGTGAATCACTCTTTCTGAACATTTACCAAAAGTGGTAGTTTAGTACGCAAAGGTTAGGCTAGGGTAGATGATGTTTTTTATCTTCACCATAGTTTATCTACACAGTAACCGAGAAACCCTCGTCCAGACATAGGTAGGCATGGCAAATCATCAAAAAGTTAATATTTTTCTGCTCATCAGCATTTGACCAAAATAAGGGTTCTAGCATGTCTGGTTATTTCAGGTTATGTTAGGTTATATGTAGGTGAGGTTAAAACTTTAACAATCTCTAAGACATATATACGGGCTTCATCTGAGATTAATATTGAGCTAGGGGTCTGGGTACCCACCTTCCTGTCAGGCCATGATACTTGACACACCATCGTGCTATCTGAGGCAGCCCAGGAACAAGCTCAAGCAATTACAATGAAAGTCAACAGTCGTGCGGGCATTACACCACTCCCCATTAAAATATATCAAGTAATTAGTTAATGACGATAATCCCGCCACCACAAATCTTATGAAACACATCAACATTGGCCTTTGATATTCCGAAAAGAAATATCCATAATGATTTAAAGCGAACGTGTTCTTACGCTGCTGTGACATAAGCTGCGCATGCGAAAAACACCCGCTAGACCAATTGATGGCGAATAAACCTGTTGATGAAGAAATACTTGTCTCCCATTGGTCTGTGAACACAATCAGCAGGAAACGCAGCTTAAACTACAGTAAAAATTTTGCAGGAAAATCTGCAGAAAGTAAGAAAAATGCAATTTAAACATATTTAGCCAATGAGTCTGGCCAATCTGTTGATATATTCCGGTAGATATTGAGCATTATCGGTCATTTTGAAAGAATTACGGTCCGACTCTCTTTATTTTTAAAGCAATGACGCATAATATGATTATTGAAAAATTGACAAATATATTTTCTTGGAGGGAAAAGTGGGACTAGCATTAAGTTAAAAATCAAAATTAACACACTGATCGAGACCTCGCTTTCAAAAGTATATATCAGTGCATTTTCGCATCGAATCTCTCTCAATCATGAACAAACTTGGGCAAAAACAGCAAGATTGCCTGCTTTGTCAATTCACACATTTTCATATTCGGGGGCAATTTTAAAAATGATGGCCAATGTTTTCAAAGTCAACATTTCCATAGGAAAAAATACAGCTATTTTTCTTCCAAATTCATTCATTTGTAGAGTCCGACTCTCTCTTGTTTTCTCGCAGTTTCCGTTGTGCTCTGAGAGAAACGATCATGTGTATCATAAGCGTTTGGCTCACTTCAAGACGGCAGAATTTGCACTTGCATTTTCTGCCGTGTGGAAGACCAGAGGGAGTCAGCTAATTTATGACAGAATGTGCTTAAAAAATGACTGGTGAATAATATCTTTTGTAAGTGCCTGACAAATATTTATATTTTAAATCACGCTCTTCAGCTGTCAAGTGAGCTCCAAATGGCCTAAATTGTCAGCTGTTTATCATCCTAGGTCAGCTCAAGGTCACAGACGTCAGCTGAAGAAAGTGGTGACCATTGGCCCTGTGTTGAGCGGACAAACCGGTGTTACCTAGTATTCTATGTACCGTGCGCGGCGCGAGCGAGCAGTGAGGGCCGGCGGCGGGCGCGGTTGAGATAGCTGGAAGATGAAAGATAGCGCCAGTTGTCTGCGTTTGATGTGATTATTGCTTTGACTGGTAAGTGAAAGTACCATTTACGAGTAGCATTTGCAAGATTGTGCCTTGTAATATCGTGCGGTCTAGGCTATAGTTCATTGTACGAGTAGCTCTAGCCTCTAAGGTGTTGACATGTTCGATCTAGCCTGTCGCACTGTTACGGGAAGACTGGTGCAGGTATTTTTGTGATTTTTTTTCATGAATTGAATATGTCTGATTTTCCCTCATGTCTTCCCGCAGACGTCCTGCAACTCGGCAGCGCGCCTTGTGGCAGGCGCCAGGCCTACTGTCGGCAAGGCGGTAGCGAAGTGGCTGTTAGGAAGCTGCGACCGGAACGGGGGGCGCGCAGACCGTCTGGTCAGGCACTGCCAGCTGCCTAGGGAAATCGAGGCCGCAAATGAGCCGGTGCCTAACGGTCCGCCGAGTGATCAGCGAGGGTTAGTGAAGAAGTGAACTTCCACCAGTTCTGGCGTGCTAGCGGCTAGCGCTAGAGCCGGTAGAACCAATTCCGTCCCACGCCCCCATGGGGGCGCCCCTGGGCCCCATGCCCATCACCGATGCCGCCGCTGTCTTTTTTTTTTGTAAATTGACCTGTGTGATGTATTGAAATATACACTTCTTACATGCCTTTTTTACAAGCCTAGAGAACGGGAAGAGAGCGTCGGAAACACATTCTGAGTATGTTGCGAACACGTTGAGAGGACGTTGCGAAAATGTTTAGAACGTTTACTCAGGGTCGCAGGGACGGCAATACGAAGTAGCGACAACGTGGTGCGCACGTGATAAAAACGTTCAGAAACGTCGCAGAGACGTTGCCAAAGCGTACTAAACTCGTGGTAGTCACGTTGTGGAAACGTGGTGACAATGTTCCAGAAACACTGTTGGCACGTTACAGAAAACATTTCATAACGTTGGCGGGACGTTGTGAGAACGGTTTTGGGACGTCACGGTCACGTTACAGAAACGTTGTGACGACATTCAAATGCATGGTCGGATGACGTTGTCACGCCGTTGTCTGGAGTCTACAAAATTACGTTGTCACGACGATAAATCGGAACGTTGTGGTAACCATTTGACAACGTTTAAACGACGTTGTAACAACGGCAAATTGTTAGCTGGGTACCTGCCTTTGTGAGGGCAACTAAAATAATACAGCAATAGAATGTATTTTTCATAAAAAAATGTCAACATCACATATTGATAGGCAAAAACACATTGAAAAGACAAGAAAACCTGAGCAAAATAAATCTGATGTGGAAATCAAACCTATTAGGTATAGTTTGTTTTTCTAAGTTCGACCCTAACTGTAAATATCTTTTTGAGCAAAGCACAAGAATTGCTAGCTGAATTACTTAGAAAACTGGTTAGTGCACATTGTACTGGAGATATGAGTAATATTTTCAAAATAAGTTTTTAACACCGATGATATACCCTTCTGTTAAATGCCGTGCGATTTATTGAATTGTTCAATTATAATTTCTGAAGTCGTCTTTCCCTGTGGGGTTGTTTATATAATATAAATTATTAGGCAACTAAGAGCTAAGAGCTAGGAATCTGGGAATGAAGAGTCAGTAGGAAATAATTTTGAATAAAATTAATCGTCCGCGAAATAAATGTGCACCAGTCAGTTTTCTTAGTAATTCAGCTTGAGCTAGCAATTCTCGTGCTATGTTCAAAGAGACGATTACAGTTGCAGTGAGGGTTGAACTTGAAAAAAGAACTATACCTACTCTACTAAGCCTCAACAATAAAGTATGGTTTGTTGGGGTTTAGGGATGAAGGTGATCCTGCAGAAGTGCAGTGCATGGTAAGAAAATGAGGTGAAGAAAAGACCGATCAGGGAGTAGATAATGAAGAGGATTCAGGACCAGGACAGAATAAATGAAACAGCGGCAGCCGGCAATACATATTGCTGGAGGCACAGCCATTATACTGATTATATTAATCTTTGAAAAATAGAACCTAAAAATATAGCATACTACCTATTGTCAATCTGATTGTCAATAATGATATTGTTTGCCCTATGCAAAACAAATTACCGTTTTTTTTGCGTTGAAATTGTAGTATTTGCCGCACTATTTGATACATAAACAGCGCAAAAGATTCGTTTGATTAGAAGTTGTAGCTACTAATTAAATTATTTCGATCAAGTATGTGGTGAATAATTATTCATAATCTATATTTTCTGCGTATTCTAAGCACAGATATAGTAACCATATCCATCACAACTCTCAATAGTATTTAAGGGATTAAAAATAGTTTTTTTTCATAATGCTTCACACAAATGTATTCGGAATTTCCGACTCTGGTATTACCCGTGCCCGCCAGGGGCACGCCCTCGGCGGGGCGGGGTCTCGTCAGGCCCAACATCAACATGCTTCCCTACCTCTCGGGGCAATCGCTCCTGTTGCAGACAGACTCCCCAAACATCAACTCTAAAACAATATTTGTTATATATAGTCTAGTATATTGACGACCTGGTTCAAAAACTGACGAAACTGGCCGGAGGCATGAGTGAGGCTAGTCGTCCGATGCGCTTGCAAACTTGCTGAGGCCCCGAGAGGAGGGTTCAAACTCCCGTTTACTCTCCGATGACACATCCTTCTAGCCGCACACTCCCGATTCTCGTTTTATTCACCACTGCGATCACTGCGTACTTTATTTATTCTCAACTAATGTTTCACTCACGATAGTCACGTCACGCAAGATCACCGTGTCACCTGCCCATCATCATCATGTCAAGCTCTAATGGAACAGATTGAGCAACTGACATAGGATTATTGCACAATGCACATTCTAGGTCGTCATAAGCGAAGCCTCCGTGCGTGGCTGTCCGTTCGGTGACACACCAACGGCCAAAGACGATATTCGAATCACTTTCTCTGGCCGAGCAATCGGATGCATCACTGGCCCAATAAAGACAATACTCAGGAAGAGCCGGTGCCGGTGCGACCGGCCGGCACTTGGAACAGACTACACAGACTAGAAACTATATCAGCCAGCACTACACAAACTGCATCAAAATCCCGTCCCCAGACCGGGTACGCGGGTCCGACGGGCGCGGTATACGTACCGTCAGGCAGTCCGGCGGTCCCTCCGCCCACCCGCAGTCCCTCGCAGCTGCGCTCAATAAGTCCCCTGACGATCGTATATCGCGGGCGAAAACGCCCTCCGTGGCCCACTGACACCGGGTAGCCACATGAGTTCGACGGGCGACTAGCACTCACATGTGGACGAGACAGCCATTCGAGGGATATCACATCAGCGGCGTTCGATGCTCGAGGCGGAGCCGTAGGCGACGTCTGCTGAGGCCAGACTAAAGGCACAGTCCGAGCGACGTCAGTGGACCTTTGAACAGCTCGGGGCAGTGGCGTCAGTGACTTGTAGGACGGCAGCTAGCTGCAGTGTGACGTCATCTGAGCTCCCTGGCCAGCAGCAGCAGCAGGATCGACGAGACGGCGAACCAGACGGGCGGCAGCGACGACAGGAGCCGGTGGCGCGCGTCTGCGAACAGGGGGCAGAGCCACACGGGCACACGGTCATAATGCTGCACCATGCGGCCACAACATGATCATTATAGCACGCAACAGCTGATACAGTCGCATCGTACCTATATATTGAATAACGCAGTCACAAGAACAGTAACATGGAGGGCACAAGTCTTAGCCACAGTCATTCAGGCACGAAATAGAACAGCACAACCACACATTAATGTCACGGATAATTAAACATCACGGTCATCACCAAGATTGCTACATGTCATGACAACCTAGTCAGCTGAGGAATTGCCTAGTTGAAGGATGTATTTTCCTTCTCAACATTGTGTACGAGTGTTCCGAGCCGGCGGATTTCCCGGCCTAGATTCGGCCTGAGGCAGAGTTCATCGTGCCACCGCTGACCTCTACCGCCCGATCGGGAAATTCCGTTTACGAGCGGACCGCAAGTCGAGCGTCCAAAGTCCACGTAAAACGTCCCTGCACGGGTACCGAACTCCTTGACGGACAGTCCCGCGGCTGCGCAGGAGAAGCGGTAACCGGCATCCCCGACTGACCGGACAACTGCAACCGGAACCACTGCTCCCAGCTGCCGCCGATTTATCGGCAGCTGGGACGCCACTCCATCGCCCCTGCGCTCCCTCCTCAATTCACAGATGTCAGCGGGCAAAGCAGTCGCCAGACATCCCGTCAATCGTCATTACCGACTCCGTCACCCCGGTTTCCCGTCTCATCTCATACACCAGTGGCAGCCGGCCCATCTCTACGTCACCCTTCAACCGTCTCAGAGATCCCTTTGCTCTCTCCGCGCCTCTACCAGAATGGAGACTCTCTTCGTATGTGTTTTGAAGCGAAACTCGCTGACGCAATCAAATGTTTTTCGCAGATATTTATGGACACCATCCCAGTGTTACCTGGATTCAGGTCAGATCCAGCCCCAGGGCATATCATAGACGGTGGTTTCTCTTACTGATGCGAATCCTGGGCTGAACGTTGAAGAAAATCACAGCAAGCACCTACTAAGGTAAAAAATCCTATCGACTTCGTGGAAGCTAACAGTAATCTTGGAAGCTAATGAACAATACAAAACTGCTCCGGGAGAAAACAACAAAAACAAAATAAGACTACAAAATATATTTAATCAAATGCCCAATAAGATAATATCATCGACAGCCGACCAATCACGATCAATAACTGACCACCAAAGCGACGTCCATAGAGCGACAATCCCGTCAGAACGCGATCAAGGCACCAGTATAAGAGGCACAACAATATGGGTAGAAAAGGTATTGCATATTGCATTGGCGGTTATTCCACTGAGTTTGTACAATATAGAAGGCCATGCGTGTCAGGAATGCCTCTGAAATCCCTTCGGGATCACGATTATACGATATGGCACTATCTGAGTAATCTGCTGTTTTACACCAGACAGGAGGGCAGCAATGGCCGGCTGCCCGCCGGCGACCGCTGCCCGCCCGACGACTTTCAGCCGCGCCACTCACACACCGGCCCCGGGCCGTTGGCGGGCCGCGCCGCACCCTTAGACGCGCGCCTGGCGTCACTACGCTCGGCCAGCGGCGGCGCTACTGCGTACCTGGCAGCTTGGCCGGCTCGGTCTCTGGCTCCCAGCCGCGACTGCGGCGCACCGCCTCCTGCCAGCGGTCGAACCGCAGGTCCCGCTCTGAAATAGTCGCACCAGTCGGTCGGTCAGCGGGGAGGGAGGACGGATGTCAGTGACGGGATCAGTCTTAGGTGTGGAGCACTGTGCATCTTCGTTATGATTTCTGAGTGACTACATAGCTTTCGAGCTATGTTCGCGATATTGTCGAAATCTCAATCTAATATGGGAGAAGAGGTGCTGCAGCACACAAGAGTTGAAATTTCAAGCATGTTCCCGCTGCGTTTCGAGAGCAGTGTGCGAGGGTTGCAGGTGCGAGTTATGAATGCCCTACATGAAAAAAAAACAGCTGGGCATTCAGAGGGGCCAGCATGAACCGCGTCGAACGCCATGCCATAGAACACGCCGAAACGAGAAATTGTGCGACCCCACGTGGTCACTGTGGCATGGTGAGCCCAGCATTAAAGGGACCCTCCCACCTTAACATTAGTTTTGAGTTGAGATAGCCAAGTTTGCGGCCAGGCTCAGAAACCACCATTTATCCTGGTCGCAACCCCCGCAGCTTTATGGTGTTCAAGAAATTTCTTCCCTTTACTTGCAGGGTGGGACCAGCGTGGTCCCTATCTCTTAACCATTACGGGAATCTGATGACGTCATCAGGCTTTCGAACGTCCGTTAAATGTTTGACTAAAACGTTTTGTAGCACGCGGTGGTATATGCTGCGTTGCGCGCAACAAATGCCGCACTTTTAAATAAAGTCGCTAGGAACAGCGGAGATCCCAAAAAGTAAACAAAAGTAAAAGTCTAATATCTTGAAAACCGGTGAATATTTTTCGGTGAAATTTGGTAGATATTCGTTTTCGCTCTTTCTGAACCGAGCGACATCACTTTCATGCCAATTCATAAACTTTTTTGAAGGTGGGAGGGTCCCTTTAAGCCGGCATTCAGGTTCCTAAAAAATAACGCCAACAGCCAAACATGCGTACGGCAGTTCGTTTGTATGAATTAACGTCCTCAAGAGAGCCTTAACAACAATGAGGTTTATCAATGCCCCTGTCCAGCGCCCACTGGTGTGGCGGGGCGCCCCAGTGGTACGTACCGTCGTCGCCGATCTGCGGCTGGAAGGTGTCGCTGGCGCCATGGCTCAGCTCGTCCGAGCTCAGACTCCATACAGAGACTCCGTCGGCGGCGCCGGCCGCCATCGCCGCGCCCAGGGCGGTCGTCTCCGGCATCGTGGGACGGACTGCGGGCGGGGACAGAGTGTAGTACAGCGAGCAGAGGGTACGGAGAGCACAGCGCGTCACGTCAGCGAGCAGATTACAGCGAGCAGCGCCCAGCGCTGTCGTCTCCGGCATTGACAGCAGGTAACCGAGGGAGCTTCGGGCAGAAGGTACCAGGTCAGCGAACATAGGACTGCCAAACGATCAGGTAGAGTCAGGGAGCAGAGAAGAGCGAGCAGAGTCGGCACAGCGAGCAGAGCGTAGATTAAGTAGAGGGTTCCGCATTAGTGTCGCGCAGTTGGCCACCGAGACGGCAGAAAACCGAACATGAAACATGGGGGGGGGGGGGCACATTAAGTTTTGCGGTATTATGAGGTAGAAATCAGTGACAGGATACGACTATTCGATAACAGATACCACGACAAAAACAGGCTGGTGATCGTGACAAATTTGAAACAGCGACATCCTTGACGACACCGCAGCTAAGAGGGCACATAACTCGCAGGAGGATCATGATTAGAGAAAGTAATGGATCGGCTCAACGGCTAGGCCATCTGACTGCTGGGCGCACCACTGATTGCCGCCGCCGCGTCACAGAACGCCACCGGCGCGCGGCCGGTACTCACCGACAGTAATGCCGAGCAGGTCTGCCTGCAGCTGCATCAGCAGCCCGTTGGCGGTGCCACCGCCGTCCACCTGAAGTCGCCGCAGCGGCAGACCCGAGTCGCGGTTCATGGCGTCCAGGATCTCACGGGTCTGTCGGAGAGAACACACGGTCACACAGCGTCGGTATGTGTGTGTGTGTGTTTGGGGGGGGGGGGGGGGTCTCACAGGGAAAGTTGTGAGACCAGCTGGCAGTACCTATGGCAGTACCCATGGACTTAGCGGATGCAGTGATGAGCTATGATCCCGGCTCGTTGACCTGTGAGCGCGACTCTCAGTGTGTGCAGTTTAGTGAACTGTGAACAGTCTGCAGCGGACGCAGCGTACCTGGAAGCTGATGGCCTCCAGCGCCGCCCGGCAGATATGCTCCTTGGTGCTGAACTGAGTTAACCCGCAGATGGTCCTGGAGAAAAAACAGAGGGCCAAATCTCAGCACACAATGAGACTACATACAGTCTAATGGACACACTGACAGACCACCGACCGGTCCCACCGACCACCGACCCGTCCCACCGACCACCGACCGGTTCCACCGACCACCGACCGGTTCCACCGACCACCGACCGGTCCCACCGACCACCGACCCGTCCTCGGGGGCTGGCCGCGGCGCGGGACACTCACCCGCGCGCCGTGGCGTCCCAGTGAGGCGCAAACAGGCCCGTGAAGGCCGGCACAAAGTAGACTCCGCCCGTGTCGCACACCTTCCGGGACAGCGTCTCCACCTCCGAGTAGTCAGAGATGAGACCCAGGTTGTCCCGCAGCCACCTGTAACACACAGACAGACACACAAACAGTCAGACAGACAGACAGTGTCAGTCCGAGATCAGGCCCAGGTTGTCCCGCAGCCACCTGTAACACACAGACAGACACACAAACAGTCAGACAGACAGACAGTGTCAGTCCGAGATCAGGCCCAGGTTGTCCCGCAGCCACCTGTGAGACCCAAGACGAGGACAGGCCTGCCAGTCAGTCTCTAATCAACTCACAAACAGCCCCCACTCCACCCCAGACTGACAGAAAGAAGGAATGATTCGTTAACCGACATCAGTCCGGTCACATGTTCAGATTATCACACAGCCACTGACTGTCCGGCATCCCCACTCCTCTCTAATCCCCACCAGTCCCCGCTCTCAGCCCGTCCCTCGGACCGGCGGCGGCCGCCGGGCGGTGTCGGAAGCCGCGCCCTCACCTGATAGCCGCGCCGGCGATCGCTACCGACCCCTCCAGGGCGTATGTGACGGGCGCGCGCGGCCCCAGCTGGTAGCCGACCGTGGTCAGAAGGCCGTGCGTCGACTGGACGATCTGCAGCACACACAGGAGGACGGACTGTCAGCTGACAGCACTGTGTGTCGTTTTGCATGTGTCCCGTCACCGGTGTCCGCTCCGTTAGATCTGACAGGGGGCGCCGCTCGTCCATGGCATCTCTGTCTTAACCCACGCCCTGATGGGGGGGGGGGGCATTTTGGCCCCCTCCTGTGATTTTTCTTAAATAGCGAGAAAACGGCGGCGCGCAGCGCCGCCAAATTTTGGGTACCTTCCCGGGCATCAATTTGACACCTTCACACAAAATTTCAAGTCACAAGTCACCTTGGGTCAGGAGTTATTGAGGTCAAACTGAGGTCATGTTCGAGTAAAAATGGGCAAAAAACATGACATCTTGAAACGCTCACCAAATCTACAGTTAACAAGCAATTTTAAAGTTCTTTATGTGGTTGTGTAGAGAAAAGACGGCGCTACAAAACTGCTATTTCGGATTTTCAAAATTTTTGGATTTTCACCCCAAAAATCCAAGAAAAACTAATAAAAAAATTCACAAAAAATCGAGTTTCGAAAAAACCGGAACATATGTGATAGTTCCTGCGCTCTTCGATATACATACCAAATTTTAGATCGATACCTCTTTTTTTGGCCAAGTTATAGCGAAAAAACGGTTCAAAATTGATGACGTCAAATTTTGAACTAAATTTCTAGCAATTCTAGAGCACGTAGCGCAAAACAAAGACCACCATTGAACTCCCCGTGACGAGCTGCATCGAATCGATACCCATTTTAAGCAAAAATATCAACTTTGAAATTGACCTAATTTGACCTGACCTTGACCTGACCTTCACCAAAACATAATCTCAACTGACCCCAAGGGCTGCCTGTCCCACATAATCGCATTTGGCATATAAAATGGACCATAAAACATGCATCACATGATATTTTAAATTTGTGACCCTCAGTGACCTGACCTCTGTGACCTGACCTGGTATCAGTGACCTCAAATAGCAAAATATGTGTTTGACGAACATTTCCCCATCGATGATTTTCAATGAAATGCATTTTACTCGATTTTACAACGCATTTCTTGAAATGCCTGTAAATGGTGAAAAATCGACCTTTGACCTGACCTGTGACGTCATCGGTTAGACCGAGGTCAATGAAATTGGGTCATAAGGTAGTTCCCCGTTGGGACTATCCAACGCCGTTTGCCGCTTGTCGCTATGTTGCGTGGTTCTCGAGATCTTAGGGGGGGCGGGGGGGGGGGGGCAAAATGCCTCCCCCCATCAGACCGCGTTGCTCGGCAGACCCCATCAGGGCGCGGGTTAAACCATTAGCGGCAATATAAATAACAAACTCAACTTTACAATATACTAGAAGCACCTTGATTTCCTATGTTTATCCGAACTTTTAACAGATCAATCCAGAATCAAGTGAATTTCACATTGAAGCCTGGGCTTACGATACTGAAACCTAATAATGTGTTTTTAAAGACCGGGTCGGGCTCTGTTAGATCTGTTGAGAGGGCGCTGCAGTTCGTCCGGCGGCCGGGAGTGCGCACCTTGCAGCCGGTGTTGTAGAGGAGGAAGCAGCCGGTGCCGTACGTGTTTTTGGCCATTCCCTGCTGCAGACAGGCCTGTCCCACCAGCGCCGCCTGCTGGTCACCCAGGATCTGCGGCGGGGGGGGGGGGGGGGAGGTCAGCGAGGGAGGGCTCAGATCACTGATCAGCGGGGGAGGCACACAGGTCAACGGTCGAAAGTCACACAGGTCAGACTGGGCTACCCAAATCAGGAGGGCTATAATGATTCACAGAGACGAAAATAAATTTCGGTGAGGAGACACAAGCAGCAGCCAGCAGGGGGCGTTATTCTCAGGTGGGGCACTCCGTGTATTGAGGTGCGTTGTGCAGAGGGTAGAACAAAATACGGAAATGTATCCGATGGAAGGCAATTGAATCATGAGGATGTACTACAAAAGAGCGAACAACAATTCTACGAAAGATAAGAAACGCGATACCGACACAGCAGAAAGGGACGAAAGAAAAGCACGTCCGAAAGAGCGGGGGAGGCGAGTGGGCCACTTACTCCTGCGATGGGCACGCCTTTGAGCGCGCCCGAGACGAGGTGTCCGTACACCTCCGATGAGCTCCTGATCTCCGGAAGCACCGATCGCGGGATGTCAAAGAACCTGCAGCACACGGTCAGCGTAATGTCACCAGCCCTCTGCAGTACACGGTCAGCGTAATATCACCAGCCCTCTGCAGTACACGGTCAGCGTAATGTCACCAGCCCTCTGCAGTACACGGTCAGCGTAATGTCACCAGCCCTCTGCAGTACACGGTCAGCGTAATGTCACCAGCCCTCTGCGGTACACGGTCAGCGTAATGTCACCAGCCCTCTGCAGTACACGGTCAACGTAATGTCACCAGCCCTCTGCAGTACACGGTCAGCGTAATGTCACCAGCCCTCTGCAGTACACGGTCAGCGTAATGTCACCAGCCCTCTGCAGTACACGGTCAGCGTAATGTCACCAGCCCTCTGCAGTATACGGTCAGCGTAATGTCACCAGCCCTCTGCAGTACACGGTCAGCGTAATGTCACCAGCCCTCTGCAGTACACGGTCAGCGTAATGTCACCAGCCCTCTGCAGTACACGGTCAGCGTAATGTCACCAGCCCTCTGCGGTACACGGTCAGCGTAATGTCACCAGCCCTCTGCAGTACACGGTCAGCGTAATGTCACCAGCCCTCTGCAGTACACGGTCAGCGTAATGTCACCAGCCCTCTGCAGTACACGGCCAGCGTAATGTCACCAGCCCTCTGCGGTACACGGTCAGCGTAATGTCACCAGCCCTCTGCAGTACACGGTCAGCGTAATGTCACCAGCCCTCTGCGGTACACGGTCAGAGTGCTGTCAGCAGCCATTTGCGACACAGCTCAGTGATCAGCATCATAACAAATTACCAACCGGTTCTATTTCGATAAGAAGTGCTACCAAGACCACAACTGGGGTTTTCATATAATTGATAAAGAACTCTCACAAAAGTGGCTATTACGGCTCTGGGATGGCAAACAGACAAAGGCATCATTGATGACACAAGGTCAGGCGTTGGCTTATTTGCCAGCTGCATGGTTGATTGTGGTGAAAACAGACTGCAATCAAGGAGGCTGTTACAGCGTCTGCTACAATAAACACACTGCAGCAGTGCTGGAAATGAGGCCGCTTTCTGGTCCCGGAGTTTTATTCTCCGGGTGGGTTAGCCCCGTCTAGCGCTTAGCCTTTCGGGACCCTCTCAGAGCCGCGGTTGTTTTCGCCGCTCAGCCCATTCGAGATGCAAAGTTGATAGTCACACGAGGTTTATTTGGGGCCTTTGAATATGCGAATTCGAAATTAATCGAGTCTACAAAACCTTTTTCTTTCATCTATATGCATACATTTAACAGTATCTCCAGACTAGGCTGGTTTGGCTGGCCTTAATATGCTTCATGTGACTATTAATTTTGCATCTCGACTGGGGCGAGCGGCGAAAACAACCGCGACCCTGAGTGAGTCCCGAAAGGCTAAACGCTGGACGGGATTAACCCGCCCGGAGAATAAAACGCCGGGACCAGAAAGCGGCCTCATTTCCAGCACTGCACTGCAGGCAGGGCCACCGGTCGGTAAGCCGTGGCGAACATAGAGAGGGAGCAGCGCCAGACCTCCGACCTCATGGGGGGGGGGGGGGGGGGGTCAGAGGGGTAGCACCCGGCGCCGAACTCAGGGCTGGCTGGGGGCCCTCCAGACTTCCGTGGAGAGCGGGTGAGATTCTGGTGAGACTCTAGATTCTGGTGGAGAGGGGGCAGCGCCAGACCCCCGCACCCGGCGCCGATCTCAGGGCTGGACTGGCTGGTGGACCCTACAGACTTCCGTGGAGAGCGGGTGAGATTCTGGTGGATAGCGGCGGCGCCGCCCGATCTCCGCACCCGGGGCCGATCTCAGGACTGACGGGCCCTCCTCTCAGGCAGCCAGCACAATTCATTAGCATCTGAACGAGTTACCGTGACTCACATCCGTCTATGACCATGAGTCAGTCTGACTCCTATCCGACTAACTACTGACTAACTACTGAGGGTCAGTGAGGATGTCCAGTGGTGTAGTGAGGGGTCAAAGGGGCTGGCCAGTGGTACTGAGGGGTCAGAGGGGTCGGAGGGGCTGGCAAGTGGTGAAGTGAGGGGTCAGAGGGGCCGCTGGCCCGTAGTGTAGTCAGGGGTCACTGACGCTGGCCCGTGGTGCCGCGGAGGAGTCAGGTGTTCAGTGGTGCCGCTGAGCTCAGCGGGCCGCTGGCCCGTGGTGCCGCGGGGGAGTCAGGTGTTCAGTGGTGCCGCTGAACTCAGCGGGCCGCTGGCCCGTGGTGCCGCGGGGGAGTCTCCAGGCGGTCACCAGAGTCACCCGCCCCCCACCTGCACAGGTAGTCGTCCCACTGGAGCGTCTCCAGGTTCATGAGCATGGTACGCGAGGCGTTAGTGACGTCGGTGATGTGCAGGCCGCCGTTCACACCGCCCGTCAGGTTCTGAGGTCAGACAGAGGTCAGACTGAGGTCAGATGTGTAAATTTGGTTACGCTACGGGCATAATAAGAGCCAGACTGAGGTCAGAGGTGAGACTGAATATCACACATTGGGCCAGAGTGCAGAGAGCGGTCACACACCAACAGCCAGCTCAGCACAGTGGAGTCGTGAATAGCGGCTCGTGAACAATAAGGCTAAAGGTAGCTACTAGCAGCTCTGGATGCCGTGACACTCGTGAAATTCACAGAGATGACCTGAAGCTAATTAGTGGTCACACTGGGCGTCCATAAAAGACTGGGTAGTAAGTAGTAACCAAATCAAGACCGGACCGCCAGTCGCGCCCCGACCAGCACGTACCCAGACGAGCCACGTGTCGACGGTGCCGAACATGAGCGTGCCGGCGCTCAGCGCCTCGGCCACGGCCGGCACATTGTCCAGCAGCCAGCGCAGCTTGACGGCGCTGAAGTAGGAGGTGATCGGCAGGCCGCACAGCTCCTTCAGAGAGTCCTTGTCTCGGTCCGGACACCTGGGGCGGAGAGAGGAGGCGTCAGAGGGTCGATTTACCTGGGGCGAACGGACAACCAGGACAGTTGGCGCGGCTTTGTCCGGACACGTCCTGGGGCTGAACGAGGGGCCTGCAGTCTGTGTCTCTGTGATATGTAAGGCCTTTAGGGTCTTTACGGAATCGGACTGTGTGGTCTGCACGGTCCGTGTGTTCTGTGCAATCCGTATGGTCCGTATGGTCTGTAAACCATATTCTCAGCACTGACTGGACCGTCGTGTAGTCTGTACGGTCTGTGGTTTATGTGGTATGTGTGGTCTGTACGGTATATGGTCGGTGTGACCTATGACTCACTTGCTCAGCAGTGACTGAACGGTCTGCGTGGTCCTGCCGTCCAGCCAGACGATGGCGGCGTGCAGCGGCCGGCCCGTGGTGCGGTCCCACACCACAGTCGTCTCGCGCTGGTTGGTGATACCTGCAGACAGGGGAGGGGGCTCAGTTCCCAGCCGCCCGTCAGGGGTAGTCGTGGGGCTGTCCCCCGGATGTCCGCGGGAGAACTGCGCTGAACTAGCCACACTGGGCTGAGACTCGCGCAAAAACTAGCCAAAGGTACCCTACCATGATCGTCTCACAAGAAACTTCTCCATCGGCAAGTTTTATCGGCTTTTTCAGCCAAACCAGACAAAATAAGTGTACAGATTATGAACGGTAATTATAATTAACCCGCGCCCCGTAGGGGAGGGGGCCGAAACGCCCCCCCTGTCCTTTTCCGTCGATATCTCCTAAACGGCTGCAGATATCGCCACCAAACTTTCAGGACCCCTCCGGGCATCAAGTTAACACATTGTGACCAAAACATTTTCCAGAGGCTATGATAGGTTGGCCACAAATGATGTCAGAATGACGTCATGTTCTGCCATTTTCGACCGAAAAAAGACCTTCACGAGCAGAGCTGTCAGGCCTACAGCTTTGAAGATACAGAAAAATGATCAAGACATAAAAGGTGTAGAATTGAAAGGACTACAAAACTGCTATCTCGGATTTTTGAAATTTTGAGTTTTGACCCCCCAAAAATAAAAAATAAACATTTTTTATATATTAGCCAAAAAATCTAAAAGTTTTATGAGTTTCGAAAAACCGGAATATATGTGATAGTACCCATCGTCTTCTATCTACATCCAAATTTCAGATCGATATCTCGTTTTTTGGCCAAGTTATAGCGAAAAAACTGTTCAAAAATGATGACATCAATTATCAAATTCTCAAACTCAATTTTTGGCAATTCTAGACCACGTAGGGCAAAACAAAGACCACCATTAGACTCCCCGTGACAAGCTGCATCGAATCGATACCCATCTTATGCAAAAATATCAACTTTGAAATTTGACCTAATTTGACCTGACCTTGACCTGACCTTCACCAAAACGTGGCCTAAGCTGGTCCCAAAGGCTGCCTGACCCACATAATTGCATTTGTCATGTAAAATGGACCATAAAACATCACACGACACTTTCATATTGTGACCCCTCAGAGACCTGACCTCTGTGACCTGACCTGGTATCAGTGACCTCAGATAGCAAAGTATGTGTTTGACGAACAATTTACCATCGATGGTTTTCAATAACTTACCAATTTACTCGATTTCAAAACACATTTCTAGAAATGCCTGTGAACGGTGAAAATCCAACCTTTGACCTGACCTGTGACGTCATCAGTTTGACCTAGGTCAATGAAATTTGGTCACTTCCCCGGTGGGGCTATCGAACGCCGTTTGAATTTTGAAAATCGGCCGGTAAATTTCCGAGATTTTAGGGGGGGGGGCGAAACGGCTCCCCTACGGGTGGTAGGGTCCGCCGATAGCCCTACGGGGCGCGGGTTAAATCACTATCACTTTGGGAGTGGGGAGGGTTCTAGTCAGAGGACTAGCGGCCCAGACTCGGCCATAACCAGAAAATAGCGAGTACCGATGATGACAATCCACGTATTGTTATGACCTTTGTCCAGACTGTTCCCTAAGTCACAGAACCCTAATCGATGCGCTCCAGACGCCGTCGTTCAGGCCGAGCCACAGCGTCATTTCCGCTGAGCCGGGGCCACCCGCGGTCATAGGGCGGCGAAACTGTCCGACTTAGCACAGCAAACCGTAAACCAGCTGTCCACACAAACAATGTGGGTACGTCCGACCGCCGCCGGCCGTCGTCCGAACATGCAGGGAGCTCCACTCCCGTGTGCGAGTTCATGGCACCATTTCTGAGAGTTACTGACAAGGAAACGTAGAAGAGGAAATCGTGCTTACAACATTACTACCGCAGTCAGGTACCATGAGCCTGACTGATTTGAACCCTGGCGAGCAGCAACAGATCACTAATCCTTGCCCGTGTGCGGCGTTTTACGACGTGTGTGTGTGGGGGGGGGGGGGGGGGAGCCCCCTTGTCGTTCGGCACCTGATCGAGCTAGAGCTTTTCTGAAAAAATCGAGCGCGCTGCCCATGACGAGAGGAGACCGATGACACCCAATTTTAAGGTCTTAGGTCATTGGTTGACCTTCCAGGTCAGGTCAATGACCCAGAAGTCGGGAAAATCGGGGCCTGCCAGAGAACTTCGTGAAGTGAAGCTGTTATGGCTTTTCGGGGTGCTGATAAAGGGGTGAAACATAAACGGGCCTGTAACTACAACCTCAGTGGGCAAGAGTCATTCGTGTCATAACAAAGCGTGTCGTAACAGAGAAGACCTGAGCTTCTCAACCAATATGAAGTTCTGCAGTCCGTCAGTGAGCGACAGTCACCGGCCCGACCCTGATCGGACCTCACAGACGGCTGCCACGGAAACTCTCGTTTGACCACACTAGACCCTGACCCAGCCTCCCTAACGTTTACTATTGGTCTGACCCTTATCTAACCCTAACTTGACCATGAACTGACCTCAGAAGTGTGTCACTGACCTAGCTCTGACCTGTACCTGAGCTCAGCCCGCCCCTGAGCGGCGCCAGCGCGCCCGGTGCACACGCCGCCCCACTGACTGACCGATGGCGGCGATGTCCGCCTCGTCCACCTCCAGAGCGCGCAGGTTCTCCACCGTCTTCTCGATACAGAGCAGCGACGAGGAGAGCAGCTCGTCCGGGTCGGCCTCCACCCAGCCCTCGTGAGGAAACGTCAGCTGCACCTCCACCTGGTGGTACGTCAGCAGCTGCGCAGAGTTGGCCGTGAACACCTGCGAAACCGCAACCAAGGTCAACAGTGTGGTACACCTTGCTGAGCTTTATATGAAGAGTGAAGTGGAGATTACAAGAGTGTGGGTTTCATGGTGATGTGTTCATTGATATGTTTGCTTTGCTTGCACCTCGAGTGGGACTCTCGGGTAGCTGACCATTGCACCGGCTGACTCTGGGGCCATGCAGGGTGGAGGTGTAGCAGCCTGCTGGGGCTGGGCTGGAGCCGGGGACATTTTTCGGTTGCTGTATCTGGTGCTAGAAACAGGGCTATGAAGTCAATGGATTTTTGGTGACACTGTCACTGGCTTCCAAAAATGACCCTGACTCTGACCCCAGACGGAACTGTTGACTCTGACCACCATTGACTCTGACTCTGCAGCCGTGGCGCGGGTTAACCCGCGCCCTGCGGAGTGCTGGGGGGTCGAACACCCCCTTGTGGTTTTTCGCGAACATCTCAAAAACGCTCCGCGCCGCCGTTTTTGGCACACCTTATCATACATCAATTCTACACATGTTGTGAAAATTTCAGACCAAGGTTAATCAAGGTCAGGTCACCAGGTCACTTGAAGTGACCTCACCTCATAAAAAGTTTCAATGTCTGCCATAGCTACACCGAGGGTCCGATCGGTTGGAAACTTTCAGCGATTGCTAAGAGCAATAGTATGTAGAAAATATATATCTCAGAATTTTTATGTCGATGACCTAAGGTCAGGTCAATTTTGCGACCTCCCCATTACCTATAAGTCAAAGGGAGAAAATTAAAAGGAGCCTCTTTTGGAAGAAAGCCATTATACACACTTCCAAACACTGAATTACAAGTAAATAAGACACACTGAACGTGAAAATGGTATCCGTGACCCCTGTTTATGCCCCTGAGGTCACCTCAGGTCACGAATGGCATCGAACAGTTTTTTTCGCGAATAACTTTTGATAGAGGCATGCTAGAGCGATGAAAACGCCTTGGATGTGTTCAGCTCGACGATACGGATCGACTGATATGCAACATGACCCTTTCCGGTCAGGTCATGACCTTGACCTGAGGTCAAATTTTCAAGTTGACCCTTCAATGTCAAATTATAGTTCATTCGATGCGTCTCGACGAGAGGAACACGATGCCGGTAAAAGTAAGCTCGTGCAATGCTTGAGTCAAAAGTTATTAGAGAAATAACTGTTTCCGAAAAAATCGGCTATTTTGGCAGTTTTTGCCCCCTGCAGGCAAAACCATTGACGCTTGGTCAAATCTGAGAGAACTACTCAGAAAGGGCGTTAATAGGGCTATCGAATGCACTTTTCCGCAGCGCTGTAGCTCTATTGGTTCCTGAGTTATGCATTAGCTTCTTGGAAATTGTCGACATTTGACCTGAAAATCGGCGAAATTTTGCCTTCAATGACCTTAGGTGACCTTATCTTTGACCTGGCCAAAAAGTGATCGAAGTGATTTCCTCATTATTTTTGGCGCTCTTTTGAACGCCGTCTACTGCGTATCGCTACGTGGCCCAGGAGCCGAGTAAGAAGGGGGGGGGGGGTGTTCACCCCCCCCCCCCCAGCAGGGCGTGGAAATCCAGGACTCCCAGTGGGGCGCAGGCTAATTTTTCACTTTCATTCTAATAAGCAGAATGAGACAAATGTAAAAACAGAGCTATATACCAATTACCATAGCAGAGATTACTGCTGCTGGAAATCTTCCAACAATTCCCTGGTCATTCCCCACATGTTCAAATAAAAATATGACAGCCAAAGCAGTCATAAAAAAATCCACCATTTTTTGGATTTTTTTGGATATCCAAAAACTGGATATGTGGCAGCCAAAGCAGTTTTTGAAAATCAGTCTTCATGAAAGTGACCAATCTTTGGGAAAAAATGTTGATCTGAAAGTGACATGAGCATGCATTACACTGTTTGGGCTGCCTTAGGTGCCTTTTTTATAAGATATGGTGAATATAATTCTATACAACTTTGATGTTAGCTATTTGGAGCATGCTGGATGTAAAAGCCAAGCTGCTATGCGCCATAACCCAAAACAACTACGGAATCCCATGTGTCATTATCATGTAGGAAGTATCATAAGAATATATGACCTCCTCGGAAAAGGACAAAAGGAATGAAAATTATTATTTATTGATGAATTGATGATATTTCGGTCGCAGACCTTCGTCTAAATCGAATTCGTTAAATCGTACAGGGCAAAAGTAGCGAGTGAAATGCGCAACAATTGTCGACTGCCCGTAGAAAGTAAAAATCCAAAATTTGTTTGTCTCGTGGTCGTGGGAAAATAAGCACTTCTGAATGTAACCCCAAACATGGATACTTTGATCAGGCTCAGTCCTTTCTTATATCTCATGTTCCAATTACATTATTGACAAGAAACTTGGCAATTGGCATATGTCCTCCTTCACAGAAACATGATTTCGTTGGAATTTCGGCATAACATCTCAAACCATTTTTAAGTCCTGACCCAAAATAACTTCAAATTTGTTAAAAGCATAATCCCATTTTACTACCGGAGCAAACTTACCAGAAAGCGTGTGCTGCTCGTGCCCTGATCAAGAGCACCCACCAATGGGCCATGCTTTCCCTTCACTGTGAAAGCCATTATTTTATGCTACCATCAACAATTAAAAATCGTATTTTTCAGGATGGTGCGGTATACAGGGCATTGGATGGTGCGGCCTGGAACTAAACACACGACACCTCCATTAGCCCAAGGGCATTAGCTAGCCGCCAAGGCCGTATAAGTTATTAGCCGCCGCCCAAGGCCCCGCCGCCCACCCAAGACTGCGAATCGAATGGCGAAAATCCAAAGAAAATCAAGTGCCAAAATGCCATATGCCAATATGCCGTATTCTATAAACTAGAATTTCATGAAGAGCAGTGGAAAACTGCAGATATGACGATATTCGATTGGTTTTTGTGAACATCAGCTACTAGTATCAACTCACTGCCTGCAAAAAGAACAGCTGACATTGGCGTCATATATGAAACAGGAGCGCCGTTGATAAAAGAGACACCATATGGAAATTATCAAAATATCACAGGGTGACAAAACTATGAATATCTGTAAAATTTCAAGTATTCTAATTTAAGAAAATCTTCGCATACATACCAAAAGTTATCAAAATATAGATATTGAAAAATGTAGTTTTCTTCTGGCCAGCGCGTTGGCAATAGTCCAATCCGGTAAGATTCAATCTGAATCTTAGCAAATAAAGGCGCGATGTTTTGAGTCGGGTTTCACTGCTTTCAAAGCACTGCTTTGGCACTGCTTTCCTCCGCCGAGGCTCTCGAGAGACATGGACCAGAAGAGGATGAGTGGCGAGAGGTGTTCGAAAAATCATCGATCTTTACAATTTTAACACTTTCTGCTCACATGCCGTGGCTTACGCCTAAGACCTGCAGGATAACAGATGAGGGAAATATGTTTCATTGTTTGGTGCTCTCTTCCACAGCTCAATGAAGATTTTCGCAAAGTTTATCTCAGTACCTACTCAGCATGCATAAGGCATGCATGACCTATCTCACTTCGCTACATTCGTGACAAACCCGCGGTGCAACCCTTGCCTTGCCATTGGTCCTATCCGGTAGGTACAGCCCTCAGCAATGACGGCACTCAGCAGTATTTTGTCCCAGTGCAGTAGAGATCAGGATAGGGGCGGTCAGCAGTGGCTGCCGCTCGACCCTATCCACTATCCATACTCACCGTGTCCGATACAGGGCCAGCCGCACAAACCGCCGCCGGGCGGGAGTCGCACATGCACGTAGGCATAGGGAAATGAATTGGATTAGAGTTTGGTTCGGGTGCCCCAGTAGTGCTGCCACCCCACGGCCAAAAACATAACCAGTGTCTGGAGCAGAGGGCGCGGTAGTGGGAGGCCAGTCCAGTGCACTGCTGGTAGTACAGTTTGCGACGTTTTCGAAGTTGACTACATGTTCGGTACTAAAATAATTCACCATTTTCATGTAGGTTATCGGGATGAGAGTTAGATCAGCTAGCGGGCTAGCCAATGTCTTGACTTTACCAATATCTTGTTGACATTCTAACACGTCCAGGCATTGACCCTAAGTGAAACATTGAATTCTAGGAAATAAACGAAGTCTATATTAAAATACGTGACAGAAGCGTAAACGATTCACGGCCACCGGCACTTCACATGCAAGAGATTGGCAATCGAAGCTCGAGTGGCGGGCGCACGGCCGAAATGGGAATGCTAAGGGTTGGGTACTTACGCATCAGAGACGTTTTAATGGCCCGGCCCGCCAAAATTTTACTACATTATTGAACAAAATGTGCACTTCTGTATCATGTAATACATACCTACAAAAACCAGCTAGCAAACACGAGCACCAAATTTTGTGACACGATTTTTTGCGATCGGTATTACCTACGTTATTTTAAATGGCTATAGTCATATCATGTAGGGAACCTTCCAGCGGCTTACTGGCTCGTCCATACAACACACACACACACTAAAACGCTTGTGAACGAACAAACACAAACAGCTGTGCAAAATCCGATCTAAAATCTGCGGTAATGTCACACAGATGGAGAGTGAGATATGTAGGCTAACAAACGAATAGAAAAGTACAGGGCCTTGCTGGTATTTGCGGTCGGTACCTATACAATTACAAGGGCGGATCTAGGGGGTCGTTTTGGGGGGGGTCACCAGTCGGCCGACATACCAGGTCTGGTGAATGAATTCTGACGACCGGGGGGGGGGGGGGGTAGGGAGCGAGTATGTCGAGATCAAAAAATGACATTTGATCTTCGTCGTTTATAAGATGAAGTTTTATCGTAAGTCACTCGGCTCAGTAGTTTTAGTTAGTGAAACCCACCTATATAGGAGCGTCGCCACGGATTTTTTACTGGGGGGGGGGGGGAGGCGGGTCGACCGACTTAAAAACCCAGAAGTAGATATAGTTACCTCACTTTTAGCCTAATGCATTAGTAAATAGTAGCATACAGTCACGATCTCTCTTATTGACCTGTGTATGAATCGGCGGCGCGAAGCGCCGCAAAAATTTGCAAAAAAAAGTTGTCAAAACACAGCTCTAAAACACAAATATTACAACCTTTTTAGCATGCTAGTACAAGCCGGAGTTCCTTCACAGTACACATATGAATTCCGATTCAATTTGACACGGTTGGTGTTATTACAGTCACTGTTATTTCTCTCTTATTGATTGGTGTATAAATCGGCGGCGCGAAGCGCCGAGAAAATTTGCAAAAGAATGTGTCGAAACACAGCTCCAAAACACAAATTTTACCACCCTTTTAGCATTGCAGTACAAGCCGGAGTTCCTTTACAGCACACATATGAATTCTGATTCAATTTGACACGGTTGGTTTATGTAATTACAGTCAAGATTTCGTATTGACCTGTACGTATGTACATAAATCGGCGGCGCGAAGCGCCGCGAAAAATTTGCAAAAACATTTGTCAAAACACAGAGGGGGCCTCCTCTCTACAGAGGACCACCGATCTCTACTGCGGGCCTCCTCTTTTCACAGGGCCTCTTAACTACAGAAGCTACAGGGCCTCCTCTCTACAGAGGGCTTCCTCTCTACTGAGGGTCTCTCCCTTTAAGAGGGCCTCCTTTACAGAGGGCCTCCTCTCTTCAAAGAGCCAGAGGACCTCATCTCTGCAAAGGGCCTCCTCTCTTCAGAGGGCCTCTTCTCTACAGAGGGCCTCCTTTCTTCAGAGGGCCTCTTCTCTACAGCGGGTCTCCACTCTTCAGAGGGCCTTCTGCATTCAGGCGGTCTCCTTTCCACAGAGGGCCTCCTCTCTACACAGGGCCTCCTCTCTACATAGAGCCTTCTCTCTACAGCAGGTCTCCTCTCTACAGAGGGCCTCCTCTTTAAAGGGGTCTCCTCTCTACAGGGGGCCTCCTCTCTACTGAGGGCCTCCTTTCTACAGAGGACCTCCTCTACAGAGGGCCTCCTACCTACTGAGGAGTCAGAGGGGCCCTAGCGGTCAGACACAGACACTAGCGGTTATTCACTGGAGGCCCCAGGAAGTAAGAAGGGCCCTAGCTGTCAGGCTGGTCAGAGGGCCCTGAATGTCCTGACGTGATTTTTGGGATTCCCGTGAATTTCTTTCGCCTCAGACGTGATTTTGACCTGCCAGGGCCCAGGGGCACTAAAAATAAAACAAACAAAATAAAAAATGAAAATAGGACATCACCAAAATTAAGTGACCGAAATCCGTTGAGTTTTTAATTTTGCGTATAGGTAGGGGCACCACGAATTAAATTCATGACCATCCCCTTGGAGTTTTCCTGGATCATCCCCTGGTGCTCGCACGGTTGAGACAAAAACGAGTAAGATTCTGGTCTTCAATACGCCTTTTCACGCAACACGATCCAGAAAAACAAAGGTATTAGCTCAGAAGTGTTTGACAGGTGATTTTGAGCATGCAAGACGGCGTCTATAGCGCATTTAGGTCTTCGGCTTTTGGGGGGGGTCAAATGACCCTCTCAGACCTTTTGGGGGGGGTCATGACCCCGTGGACCCCCCCCAGGATCCGCCAGTGTACAATTACAGACAGCGTCAGTTCGCGGTTGTTCTGCACTTAGTAAAAATTAAAATGAAGGAATATATCAGAAAAGGGGTGTCCGGCACTGCATTGGGATGCTGTGCAAAGAAGAACCTTAGCACTCCTCCACGGAAAAAATGAGGACCAGTTATCAATGACAATGACAGTCACTCACACGATCCATAGATAGAAACGCGCGCCGTCCAGAAGCAATGGACGAATCAGTAGCGGCGACTGGGAGGCATGTCTGGGAGATAAAAAACGATGAAGCGATGCACGGCACTGACGCTAAGGCAGCCGATACTGGCATGAACACTGAACACCGCTGCAGACACCGTGGCCCGGAACACCTCGCCAGCTCACTGAACACCCAGTCTGTGGCCCGCTGCGCTGGTCGCTGGCGGCATCTCAGCACCGCTGCGCCGCCGCCGCTGATGGCGGGGGGACAGAGTCAGCCGGTCGGAGCCCGCCTCGGCCACGCAGCTCATCTCACAGAGCCCCTCCAACCGCAGCGCCGAACCGGCCCCGGCACTCCCTCTGTCCCCTCAGCTGCCGACCGCCGACCGGACCGCCACCGACCGCCGACCGGACCGCCGACCGGACCGCCACCGACCGCCGACCGGACCGCCGACTGCCGGCCGACCGGACCGCCGCCGACCGCCGACCGCTCTACGGCTGCATGGCCGGCTTGGCGCCGCACATGTTGCACTGTTTCTCCCGCATCATCCAGCAGCAGAGCAGGCCCAGCGGAAAGAAGCAGATGGCCAGCACGATGCCGCACGGCGTGAACGAATCGGTCAGCACCCCGTTCTGCCGGCGCAGACCGGACGGGCGTCAGACACGGGGCACACAGGTTACATGTCACAGACACGGGGTACACAGACACAGGTCACAGACACACAGACACAGGGCACACGCATAGGGGCAGCGGCACACAGACCGGGACACTTGCACGGCAGGTGTCGAACACGTCACAAAGGGCGGGCGTGGGACGCCACACGGGACGAGTGGTCTACGTATATGAATGTCCTTCATATGTAACTACTACGAACATATTGCATCACATACGGCTATTGAAACACTCCCATTTGAGAATTTTTGCATTGGCAGCTTGAAATGAAAGCGGCGAAATGCGGATGTTTGCGGTATTTATTGATCTATTTAGTCTCCATACAGCTCTCATTCGGACGCCCCGTCGGGCCGGGTCCACAATGTGCGCAAATCGCCAGCTCCATTGGTTTTTGGCAGCCGGGTGCAGCTGCATGGTCCAATTTTACTTCTCTAATAGGTGGAGCGGACGGGCCAGCGCCGGCTCGGCTCGGCGGTTGGCGAGGGCAGCGGCGCGGCTGGCGGACCCGACCCGAGTGCCGGCGACCCTGAACCGCCCCCGCTGGGAGGGGGGGGGGGGCGGCGGCGCCCAAAGCCGGCTGGACGGCCGGCCCCCCTCTGTTTATGTCGGACGAGCCGGGCTTACCGAGACGTCTGCCGCCAATCAGTTGACAGAAGGGCGCCGGCACCAGCCGCCCAGTGGCCACAGGCCATGCACATTGCACAGCCTGACGCTTAGCATAATTGGAATTTCACCGATGGATAAGGCTTTATTTATTCATATGTAGCGCAACTTCCGGAATTACGTTGCATGAAATGTCGGCGGCTTGATAAGCAAGTGCGAAGCGGATTGGCGAGCATGATCGATTGTGAAACTGGTGCTGTTGCGGCGCCCCAAAAGTGGTCGTACTCGGTCGACACCATGTCCATATTGCCGTATATCGGTCCACACCAGCTACGGAAGTCGATGGGCCCCGGCCTGGTCCGAGTCTACTGGCACCCGACCGTGCTCCGGCCCCGACGGCCCGCCGCTCGGCCGCTGGTGGACCCCCATACACTGTGGATTGACCCAGACCAGGCCCGATGATTCACCCGTGTTTGTGCGAAGGGCGCCAACGGAGAAGGCGCGTCACCGGCCCGCCGGCGGCCGTGCGTCGCGCTCAGAACTCTTCGTAATGCGCAAAACATCGGCCCGGCTTCGTGAAGCGGGGAGTTCCCGAAACCGGCGGGGGTTCCCCCGCTGCCAGCCGCCACAGGTTCCAGCCAGCGTCAGCCGGACCAGGAACGTATACGTCATAGGGATTTGCATTTCCTATTTCTAGGAATCTTGGTACGGAGGGACAGATTGAGAGGAAGGTAGAGGGGTAGCAGTGCGCACTCACCTGGCAGTTGGAGCAGCGACCGGCCACTCCTCCTTGCAGACCCTGCACCTGGATGTTATTGCCCTGCGGTGCCGACTGGACGTTCATGGCGACTGAAAACGGATCGAGCGCCTTGTCAGCCAGCAACCAAATTACTCGAGAGGTCCCCAGGGGGAGCCCGCTCCCAGCTCAAACGGGGACCGGATGGCGTGCCGAACAGGCCAGTGTCGTGCCCGACACCGCGCCATCAGGGATATGGGTCCCTCGTAAATGGTGATACCGTGCAAACAGGATGGGACCGTACCATACCGACAGAACATAGACCGTACCGTACCATACAGACAGAACACGGACCGTACCGCACCATACCGACAGAACAGACCGTACCGTACCGACAGAACACGGGACCGTAAGATATAGATAGAACAAGGGACCGTACAATACCGACAGAACACGTGACCGTAACATACCGGCAGAACACGGGACCGTACCATACCAACAGCCGGAACGGCGGGACCAATACAGACAGACCACGGGACCGCACCATGCCGACAGATTTAACACGGGACCGTTCACCGTACCCTGCCGACAAAACACGGGACCATACCGTAGAGTAAGATCACGGGACCGTGCCATACTGACGAGTCAGATCACGGGACCGTACCATACAGTCAGAACACGAGACCGTACCATGCCGACAGAACACGGGACCGTAACATACAGGCAGAACACAGGATCGTACCATACCAACGGACAGAATACGGGACCGGCCCGACCGTATAATACAGAAAGGATCATATAACACCGACAAAAGACGGGACCGTACCATACAGACAGACCACGGGGCCGTAGCATGACGACAGAATACAAGACCGTACCATACCGACAAAACAAGGGACCGCACCATACCGACAGAACACGGGACCGTACCATACCGACAGAACACCAGGCCGTACCATATAGGGAACACGGGACCGTACCATACAGAGAACACGAGACTGAACTATACAGACAGGGAACGGGACCGTACCATACAGAGAACGCGGGACCGTATACCATACAGGGAACACGGGACCGAACTATACCGACAGAGCACAGAGCAGACCACGGGACCGTACCACAGCGCCGGCCGGGGGCTGCGTTGGCCCGTGCTCGGCACCGGGCCAACACCCAGCCACCTCCGCCGCTCCTCGCAGGCTCCTCGGGGCCGGTCGGCCACGCCTCTCTGGGAGCCTCAGGGCTCAGTCACACCATCCGGAGACTCCAAGAACTCCATGCTCCTCTGGCTGCCAGCTGGGCGCCAGTGGGGCTAAGAGAGTCTCGCACGCTCCACGAGCCAGAAGCGTCGTGACGCCTCAACTTCCCAATCAACGTCATCTCGTAATTTCATCGCCCTAAGAAAAACCACCACGAATATCAGTTGAACGGCCGCGAACATAAAACAGCAAAGCACACAACTAAAGCATTAGGATTGACTTTAAACACAACATGTTAAAAAATATGCCGAACGATATCATGGCAGGCGTCTCCGTTCAATGGCGTTCAAATGCGTTTAGTAGCAGGCTTATGAGCAGACAAGACGGGACAGAGCAGCTTTGATGGAGCCCGTGCACCGATCCGTCAAAAGCTGGAAAGCAGCTCTTTAGATTTAAAAGCTCACGCATGCTCACGTGAAGTAATTACCCAAAGTTCGTTGCATAGGTACTGGTACTAGTCAAAGCGCGGTATGCCTATTGCCTACCTACGCCGGAGTTGCTGTGTAAGCGAATCAGTATGTGTTACTGGTCTGTTCCTTTGGAATTAGGATGACCTTGGTCTGCCCAGCTTCGTTTCAGTGCTCCCGTCAGCCCCGTCTCGGTGCCCCAATCAGCTCCGTCTCGGTGCTCCCGTCAGCTCCGTCTCGGTGCCCCATCAGCTCCGTCTCGGTGCTCCCGTCACAGTCTCGGTGCTCCCGTCACAGTCTCGGTGCTCCCGTCACAGTCTCGGTGCTCCCGTCACAGTCTCGGTGCTCCCGTCACAGTCTCGGTGTTCCTGTCAGCTCCGTCTCAGTGCCCGGTCTGGTCCAGTCACCGTCCATCGTCCAGCGTCCCCGAGGTCAGGCTGCAACCGTCCGTTCCCGCCCGCCGACGCTCCGTGCTGGCTGCAGGGGCGGCTGCCATGTTTGACCTTGGCTGGCCCACCGACCGGCATCCAAAGGCCATGGGCCGCGTGGAGTTCGGTGCGCCCTAACTGCGAACAAGCCGTACACAATATCGACCGCGGGTCTATTCTAGTAAAATTACTACGTAGAAATAAACTAGAATGTTGCCGTTCTCCGCATCACGGCTCGAACGGCGAACCTCATTTGGATCCCGAAGTTCACTTGATGATTTCTTTTCGTAATTTCCTAAATTATTAGAAAGACGGTGCACCATGCTACAGCGCGTCGATGTAATAATAAAACGGCATATCTTCAGAGACGCAGTGCAGCGAGGCGCGTGCCGTGCGGCTGCGGTGCCGACTATGACGGCCTTGATGATGAGTGGCGTGTGCACTGTGCAGCCAAGACCCGGTCTGGTGGGACCGGCGCGGCCGACGTCCCAGCGCCGCCGACAGACGCTGCTCCGTCCGCCGCGCGCCGGCCTCGGGTCGTGGCCGGGGCCGTCGGCTGGCGGCCCGGCTAATTTAGCAGAGGCGCTGCGGCCGGGCCCCAGCCCGACCAGTCAGGACGGGACACACGCCGGCGGCCCCTCCCACCATGGATTTCCTTGTAGTCCTGCTAAGTGCTAATAATAACCATTAACCACCCTTCCTCGGCCAGAGGCCAGAGCCGAACAGCACAGCCACACAGAGAACGATTTCTATACGGGCAGTTAATGGATCCAATAAATTTTAAGTCAAATTTAAAGTATCACTTCCAGTGAAGTCCTGAAGAGCGACCATTGCGGACTGCCCGTGAATCAACGCCAGGTTTACGTTCCAAGGCAAATAGGCAACGAAAGACTCGAATGCTTAAAGATACGATAGACTATACTGAAAAACGATGAGTACCTCATGGCTTTTAATGAAAGCAGTTGTATGCCGGAAAATGTATTGTATTGTAATGACAATGAAAACACTCTATATTGGCTATTCATTGAGTGTCGCGTCTACGAGCTAAAAATTCAGAAAAAGTAGCGGCCAGCGACCGTAGCACAAGGGAACATATTTCAGCAAAACAGACGGATCTGAGCTGAGCTGACCGGCGACCTTGACCTATATTGAAATTCGAAACGGATAGATCATGAAAATAATAACGTTTTCCATAATTAATCCACGCCAAGAGAAAAGCACCAGATATTAAGAACTTTGAAAATGAGTTTGAAGACGTAAAACCCGACCACCGAGGCCGAGCCCAAAACGGTTTATCGCTTATTCACATGACGTTAGGCGCCCATGAGTGCCAGTGAAGTAGGCATTTAATTCGGTAGGTACTCACAAAACGGAGTATTGAGACAGTTACCGGGGTTACATGAGCAAGTAAATGCGTATCAGGAACGGATTTTCCTATTCGCTCACCATTGTAGTCCGTTTGTAATGCGTATTAACTCTGCTCATGTAACCCCGAGCAGTGTCGATTCAGCGGGGGCAGGCAGCTCGTGGGCCGGATAGAGGACGCGGGCAGTAGCGGGGTATGGGCGGGGCAGCGGCGGGGGCGCGGCAGCGGGAGCTCACCTCTGTGATGGTGCCGGTCGGAGCTCACGGACCCTTGTGCGCCGCACGGAGTCGGCGCTCGGCGGGTCTGGCTCGGGGGCGGGCGGCGTCCGGAGCGCCGCCACACGGCGTCCGTGAGCAGCGAGCAGCCGCCGCCGCCCGCATACCGCCCAGGGCGCCGCCGGCAGACGGCAGCGTCAGCGGCCCGGCCTGGGCCCGGCGCGGCGGCGGAACGCAGAGCCAGGGATGGTTGCAGGTTACTGCTAGCTGTGGCGCCAATCGGAACCTCAAACCTCGGAATAACGTTTTGTCAAATGTCCAAATTCCAATGCGGAATTTGGCTGGACAAAGGCAGCAGGCTCTGGGCAACATTGGTCAATCACTTGCTACTCTTCAGCATTTTAATAAAGTAATCACGTATAGCATTGATTGACGAATAGAAAGCTCAGCTCTCGATATGACAATCACTTTTGGGTTGGAAAGATAACATTGAAAGCCAATTAAATAACAGTGTTGAATGTGAATGATTGCGTAGTTTTCGGACATCTGTTAACAATTAAATCGCTGGCTTGACATTTTTGGACGGACAGTCTACGAAGGTACTGGACATTTTACGGACTGGGACGTATATTTTCTAAGACTGGCACCACTAGATGGTACACTGCTGGGTGCTGGCATCAGGCGACCGGCCCGGGACCTACGGCGCGGCGCCCGGCGAGCCGACGCCCTAAGAGGGGAAGACAGGGACCCTTCTTACATTGTTAGTGTTACATTTTAACTGGGGGGGGGGGGGGGGGTCATATCCCCGCAGTCACCAACCTGTCTCACCCTTCACTCAGGGCGAAAATGCGACCGGGGAACCGCAATAGCGAAAGGCATACATGATACCTACACATTTTTAGTGAGAGGCGTCCATAACATAAGTGTACACAAAAAACAAATGCGCTAAAAATATGGGCTCAGGTCAGCTTGACATGGAGCCAAGCTTAAAATTTGCCTTTTTTAGTCACATTGTTTATTGAAACTACACGCCACAAGATGCAAATGATGCCAAATGAAAATACACGTCGCAGTCACATTCCTACAGTACAGTCATCGTAAAACCAGTGTATCGTAAAACGATATCGGAAAAATTGGTGATTTACACTTTCCTTGACATCTGTAGGTCATACGGTCGACCTGACGTCAAATTTATCGACATACCTATTTAGCTTCTTTGGCCTTTCCATCGCTTTTACCGCGTCTTCTGTCTCTAAGCTTTCGGAATAATTGGTGGTGATTAAATTGGTTCCCCTCCAACATGGCGAGGTCGGCTGAGACCCCCAGCCAGGCGAGGGTTGAGCACTGGTCGGGAGGGCGCTGACCCCGGCCTGTAGCGCGCCGTTCTGAATCTGTAGGGCGACCGGTCGCGCGAGTTGACCACAGGAATGGCATTAAACAATCGGTAAAGGTCAGAGGGTGATGACTGACGACACTAGCTCGAGGGACACGTTAACAGTTTATGAATTGTCGGGATACAGCGACCAAGCTAAAGCGCCGTTCTTAGCGTTAGAAACCCTTGCTCTTCAGTATGACCAGATCATGCTTCAGGGGCCCCCTGATTGCTGATGGTTGCTGAGATTGCTGAGATTGTTGATGCGATTCTGTCCCTGCAAGCTACGTTGCCATTTTGAGCGCCTTCACGGCCCTAAAGCGGCTGGTATGCGAAATCGAATATTGGGTGGAATATTTTTAGACTGGGGTGACATGTGCTACCTAAAGCACAAAACATATTCCGCTATTCGGACAAAATGTCACATACCTGCTCATCCCAGACGATTTCCCTGTACTCTAGCCAAACAAACGCCCTGTAATTCCTCACCCGCTAGCTCACCAAAGCTGCTACGATAACGCATTTCACCATATCCCACATTCACGATATCAAGTACGAGTATATTATAATAAAATTGAATTACGACCGATAACACTTACAAACCACTTAACGAGCACGAGCCGAGTGCGGGCGCTCGGACGCGGGGCTGCGGCACCGGCCCCGGTGTGCGCACCCACACCTCAATGGAACGACATACAAGCGAATGCATAAAGACACGGTGTTGGCGGCCAGGCGGCCGGTGCCGGTCGGCGCGCGGCGGCTATCACGAGTCGGGCCGGACGGGCGCGGCCCGGCCCGGCCAGCCGCCGTCGGCGCCCGCACACTCCAGCACATTGCATCGTTGGCCCGCCCAGCGCCGGCAGAGGCGGCGCGTGCCAGGCACTTCAGCTGGGCCGAGAGGCGCGCGCCGCCGCCGGCCGCCGCACGAGCCGCAGGAAGACAGCCGGCCGGCCGGGGCGGCCCGGCGCGGCGGCCGGCGGCGGCCGCGGCGCGCCCCACACACCCCCACCCGGCCACCACCACGGAATGTGATCGCACCCGTGCCGCTCCGACGGCCGACAGTTCGCGGCCAACGCTCGCCACACCAGCCCGGCCGGCGCATACACATCTCACAAACTAACTAGACTTTTGGTCTCTCTGGGCCCGCGCCCGCCGCGCGGCTGCGGCTATAAATTTTGGCGAGCTGTACTTACACATCGTCACATATCGGCTGTACAGTTTGGCCGGGCGTCTCAGTTCGTGGTCCTCCAGCAGCACCGGTCGGGGTAAACCCCCGTCATTACAAATACAGGCAGAGCGCCTCGGCTCTCTTACAAATATAGGGAGGGCGGCTCTCACTGCGCGCCAACATCAGGCTGCCCAATCTCTCGCACAGACACACAGTCATCACGGCGCCACTGATCACTCACTCACGCACCCAGTTAGATACCTCGGCTGGGCCGGGCGCGGCTCGGCGGGCGCACAGCGCCCCGGACGCCGGCGCGGCGCGCGGCACGTGCTCGGCCGGCGCGGCGGAGCAGTCAGTTGCGCGGCGGCGCGGCGCCGGCCGCCCACTGGCGCTGGTACGCCTGCCAGCGCGCGTCGTCCGACTCGTGCGTCAGGTAGCGTTTGCCGAGCCGCCGCTCCAGTGCGCGCAGGTCCGACCAGCACTCAAAGTCCTGCCGGGGGCGGGCGGTTAGAGGGGCGCGGCATACACCAGCTCACACATACACCGCAACAGAACCAGTGTCGCACCGCGCACTGGCACCGGCGCGCCACGGCGGGCCACAGTGCAGTACAAACTTCCGCAGCTGAACAAACACCCGACAGCAAACACAGTGCTAGTGATGCCAGTTTCCATTTTGCCCAATTACAGACCCAAAGTTCGAAAACGAAAAAAAAGAAAATGACGGGAAAGATTTGTTTTTTCTTTCTAACAATTTAAAATCAATTTTCCCACATTTCTTGCTGCATACAGTAATTTTTAAGTAGCGAGCTGAATGCTTCCTTGACTCAAGCCAACACACAATGTGTTGAAAATACGTTGCAAATGTGACTCAATGCACTGGCCGACAAGCGTAAAGAAAGCCTGCCCAACCAAGTCGGGCTGAATCATGTTTCAGGCGTCCGAAAACTCGGGACTCGAATTGACATCGCTTCTAGGAGTTGAAATAAATGCCAGCCAGCACGGCTGTTGCGATGCAGTTCGTCTGGTGACTAATAATTATCCTCTGAGCTCGCGAAAGCGCCCTCTCCACAATGTCTACACAGCGTGGGGAGGAGCTCCGCCGGGGAAAGGGGTACAGCAGCGAGGCGACATACCTGCAGCCAGACGTGCATCAGGCTCTTGTCGACGGTGAAGCGGCGCTGCGCCTTGACCCGCAGCAGGCAGCTGATGAGCTCGATCGCTGCCGGGGGGAGGGGGAGGGCGCCGTCAGCGGGGAGACACTGAGACAGGGGAGAGGGAGGGACGTGAGGGGGGCACTGGACAGTAGGAGAAGCAGCTGGGAGAACGGAAGGGTATTTTGGGGAAGACATGAGCATACAAAGGTAGGTAAGAATTGAACAGTGAACACGGAACCAGTGGCTGACGTGAATAACGACAGGAGACATACACATCACGGTAATTCATCTCCACTGGGCTTTCTCATCGTCATGCGTCCTACGCGAACTTAGTTTGTTAATGTACTCCCCCCAAACGCTGTGAAACTAGCGGACGGGGGACGGTACAGACGGAAGACGGGGCGGCAGGCACAGAGCTGGGTAACGCACACGTCACCTATTAGCCGGTCGGCAACCTACCCTCCTGGCTGATGCTCTTCCACGGGTGCGGCGGGAACATGAAGGCGGCGTTCTGAATCTGGTCGTTGATGTCCTCGTCGTCGTGGAAGGGGAACGTGCCGCTCAGGCTGACGTAGATGATGATGCCCACCGACCACATATCCAGCGACCGGTTGTAGCCCTTGTTGCGCAGCACCTCGGGCGCTGCGGGCGGGGACGGGTCCGGGGGTCAGTCGAGGGTCGGGGTATCGGTCTCTCAGCGAGCGCCAGGGCCCGTCGGCGGCGGACAGACCCGGCCGGCCGGTAGGCGCTCGGCTGGGGTGGGACCCGCCCATGCACCGTGCTGCACTGTACCTTCCGGTTTCGACACCCTGTCACCGTTCGAGCCGGTGGAGGTGATGTCACCCAGCTCTCCATACAGTGTTTGCCCACCGCGTACGACACGGCGTCGATAGCGAGCGGAGGACGCAGTGGCACAGCGCGACCCCACGCGATAGTGCCTATGTGACCCCCCTGGAGCCGAACTCTGGCAGACAAAGTCAACATTGCCAGCTACTTGAGATGGCAGCACTGAAGTGCTAAATCGCAGGGATCACCGATTTGTGACGCAAGAACAGACTAAAAAATATCCAACGAAATGAGAGCAAATACGTTTGGAGCGATAGCAGAGTGATTACACCACACCGGGGGAGTACCGGGGGAAAGGTGCGGCGCCTGAGCGGTGCCAATCTCCGGGATCGGCACCTCACACCCACCGCTGCATTACGAGACCACCGACGCACGCGCCGTCGCAAAGAAGCGCAGATTACCGCAGACCGCCACATGTCTCCCGTGACCGTGATATGGTACCCGTGATATGGAGCCCCTAACATTTCCCGTGACTGTGACAGTAAAAGGTCAACGTGACTGTAACACTATGATCGTGGTGCGTTCCGTGACCGTGCCGGCGACTGACCGAGGTAGGCGGGCGTGCCGACCACCGAGCGCCGAAACGAGCGCTCGCCAATGATCTTGGCGTAGCCGAAGTCGCAGATTTTGATCTGCGGGAACTCCTC